AGCGAGACCGGCCATTAGACGTTTCTGAGGTTAATTAATAGAGATGTAAAATTTTGTTATTAAGATAATTGATTCAAAATCGAAATTGAAACAAAGTTTATTTAAAACATTTTTTGATAAAAACAATAATTATCGAGATAATTAATTTTGATAGCATACTATTCAGAGGGAAATTAAAATTTCAAGTTAGCAAAAAATTGTATTAACAAACGCAGAACTAGAACTAGAATCATTCGGATTTAGCCGAACGTCTTTCAAGACGGCTAAACCCGAATGATTCTAGTTCAAGGTCTTAAGTTAGTTCTAGTTTTAATTGTTATTTAGCGTTAGATTGTGGTATATTTTTACGAAAAGTAGAACTAACACTAGACCTAGAACCAGAAACATTCGGGTTGGGTTGAGTTATCATAAAGACGTCACCTTTTCCAAGTTTTCACCTTTCCTTTGCAAAACTACTCAATGCCTGTACTGTTAAGCTATGTTGCATTTTGTGTGACAATACAAGTGCATAGTAATTGCATTCATATATTACGAGTTATATGAAATTCCCGGTATATATATTATAAAAAGAAAAATATTAATAAAATTACAATTAAAATAAATAAATAAAAAATAAGTTGGTATCATTGCACTAAATAAAAAAATGTGTTGGTAGCACTAATAAATTTAATTTTTGACGTTTTAACTCAAAATTATTTTTTATTATTATTTGTGTTATTGATTTGTTTATTAATTATTGATTTATTACAAATAGTAGCAAAAATGATTACCTTAGCTCTCACATCAGATCGATATTTTAAATGTCTCCTTTCAATGGTGCGCTCTTCCGATCGAAATCGTTTCTCCAACTTTTTATATAACCGTCCTGGGGGATGTTTTTGACGTGGAGAATCGGCAAATCCCGCCGGTGGTTGAACAATATCGGGTTGAACCCCATTACTACTTATCGATTTATCGTGATCGTCCGTTGTGACAATATCTACTTCTTTCCCACAATGTAAACAATGCACTTGGTGTTCTACGGCTGCGGCAGCATGCGAACTTGGGTCACTATAGAAAACGGAGTCACTTCCGGGACTTACAGACCGTAAAGATTCGGCACTTAAAGCTTTCAAACGCGAAGTGTCGGGGCTGCGCCTCCGTTTCGGGGAGGATAAATCTTGTTTTTCTTTATTAATCGAAGATTTCCTCGGTAAACTCCCCGGTAAACTCGAAGCCTTTTCTTTTTCGTCATCGATATTAGATCGTTTTGATCGACTTTTTGATGATGATGTTGGTGAGCGAGGAATCGATTTCCTCCGGTTGTTTTCTCGGAGCTTTTTGGTTTTCCTTGGAGATAATTGGTCTTGTTTTTTCTTTTCTTCGCGTACCCCGCTACTGGATTCGTCGGAAGTGATGTGGTGAACGGGTTGTTTTGATTCTTCAACTTGTAACCACTCCTCATCGGGACTTCGTAAACTCGGCGACTTTTTAACTGGTTTTTTATGATTTTGCATTGGACTCCTCGTACGAATTTTCCCACGTTTTGGTTTATCTTTAACGCTATCTTTCGATGGGGAATATTTCCTCGTGTGTTTAAAATCTCTTTTTGATTCCGAAAATTGTTTAACCTCCAAAATAAACGGCCGTTTCTTTTTTCGTGCTTCATCGGTGTAATACTCGGTTTTATCTGATTTTGATGATTTCCAAGTTACACTAAAAATTTATTAAGTGATTTATTTTAATTAAGTGATTGTTAGGAATACGTACTCATCTAAGTACAATGTTAGTAGTTCTACATAGTAATAGTGCTAGTGTAAAACGACCCGAAACTTTCTAGTTCTAGGTCTAGTGTTAGTTCTAGTTTTAATTGTAATGCAGCGCTAGACCAAGAACTAGAATCATTTGGGTTTAGCCGCACGTCTCTAAAGACGGCTAAACCCAAATGTTTCTAGTTCTAATGTTAGTTCTAGTGACAGTGCAAGTGTAAAACTAGAACTAACACTATACCTAGAACTAGAATCCTTTGGGTTTAGCCGCACGTCTCTAAAGACGGCTAAACCCAAATGATTCTAGTTCTAGGTATAGTGTTAGTTCTAGTTTTACACTTTTGACCTACATTTGACTTCGAACTAGAAACATTCAGGTTTAGCCGCACGTCTCTAAAGACGGCTAAACCCGAATGATTCTAGTTCTAGGTATAGTGTTAGTTCTAGTTTTGCACTAGCACTGTTACTATGAAGAATTAACACTATACCTAGAACTAGAGTCATTTGGGTTTAGCCGCACGTCTCTAAAGACGGCTAAACCC